AGATTTTCGGGACGATCCGGTTCCTTTTTCACTATTTTCGAGTCGAACCGGGCGAGTCCGGTTCGACTCGGTGTTTTTTAAAACGCTGGTTCAGAGCTTAGGAGCGGTTCGAACAAGAATCGAACTAATAAAGTGGTTAACCAGACTAATCGATTAAGTAGATTTTTTTAAAAAAATATAGGTTAAAATTTTTTAAATTATTTTAAAAAATAAAAAATATAGATTAAATCATATAAAAGTCTTCTTTTTTTTTTCTTTCGTCTTCTAGACCGATCATATATTGGTCATTTGGATCAAGTTGCATTATAAGGGCAGAAAATTCATGGCTTCAATAGAGCAATAGAAAATTTTGGTAAATTCATGAGGCTTCTACAGTAATTTCATAGATTCTCACTGAATAGCAGTTAATGCTGTTGCAATAAATCTATGGGTATGTATAAAGTTTAGCCTAATAAAATATTATATAACAAGATCGTGTTCACAAGACTTCTACAGTAATTCCATAGATTTTCACTTAATAGCAATAAGTAGTATTGCAATAAATATATCGGCACGTATAAAGTCTAGCTTAATAAAATGTTATATAACAAGGTCGTAACTGTTCTAAAGTCCAAATTAGATGTTGCAATGTACTCAAGCCAACTGCAAATGATACGATTTGAAAGATAAAATATAGCAAAGAATGGAGTACCTTTACCACGTACTATGATTTCCTATCAAAAGCCCAAAAAAAATAAATGTAGCAAAAAATAGAGTACCTGTACCACGTACTATGATTTCCTATTGGAAGCCCAAAAAATTAATTGTTTTATATAGGAAACTTAACCAAGAAACATGAATGTTTTTAACACTGTTTAGGAACACCAACTCATCCCACATTTCCACACTGAAAAAGAAATTAGAACAAAAAAATACTTTTATAAAAAAAAAAAATGTAACATTAAGAGCAATCCAACAAGCTCACCAAAAATATATATAACATTAAAAGGAAATAAATATTTTTTTCACATATTCATCCCAAAAAAAACATATTTGTGTAAAAAAATATATATAATATTAAAAACAATCCAATAAGCTCACCAAAAATATATAACATTAAAAAGAAGGATATATATTTTTCTCATATTCATAAAAAAAAATATTTTTGTAAAAAAAAATATATAACACTAAAAACAATCCAACAAGCTCACCAAAAATATTTAACATTTCAAAGAAAGAAATATATTTTTTTCATATTCATAAAAAAAAAAACATATTTTTGTAAAAAAAATATAACATTAAAAACAGTCCAACAAGCTCACCAAAAATATATAACATTCAAAAGAAAGAAATGTTTTTCTCATATTCATCACAAAAAAACATATTTTTGTGCAAAAATATATATAAAATTAAAAACAATCAAACAAGCTCATCAAAAATATATAAAATTTAAAAAAAAAATCTATTTTTTTCTCATATTCATCATAAATAACATATTTTTATAAACAAATTGTAATTTTATTAACAAACAAATTTTTTTTAAGAACCCTAAAATCGAGCCAAAGGCACAGATTCTTTAGAGTCAAAATCAACCCCAAATCATTCATTTTTTGAACAAATTGACATAGATATATGATAGATACTTCAATCACAATTAAAATGCCCCAAATATTATGAAGATCAATTTACTATTGAGATCGTTCTTCAAAAAATGGCGGATATTTCATTTCACACAATTTTCAACAAAAAAACGCAACAAAAAAATCCATATAAATAAATGTACTCAATGATAAATCAACATACCTGACGTATTTGATTTATGAAGCCTTGATGATCAAAATTAACTGATCAATTCAATAAAAAAACGATCAATACATCGATCAAAAATCAAATTGTTTTTCATCAGATACAATTCTTGGAGCAGCAATATTTTCGGTCGAAATCAACCTCCAAAATTCATCGTTTTCAACAAATCAAAATAGGAAAAAGTTTAAGGCTTCAGTAATGAATCAAGGCCCTACCATATTTATGGAGTATTGAAGCTCTGATTGACAAAATGGCAGAAATTTTGTAGTTTCAAAAATCCGCCATTTCAATCCACCAAAAACAGGTCTTCATCGAGTTTTTATTCAATAAACAATTATTTATAGAAGATTTCAATTGCATAAGCGTAATAATTCACCGAAAAAAATAAAAAACAGCCAGAAAATTGAATAAAAAAAAGGTTGCAAAACGAGAATCACATGCTCTATTTAAAATAACGGCCTATGTGTCAAATAACAGTCGTTATTTAATAGGATACCGTTATGACGATTATATCGCCTATTATAATAGTAAACCTGACCGATTAGAGGAAACCGGCAGATTTTGACTTAAAACAGCCGATTCACCATCGAACCGGCCGGTTTTGGTAGTCACTTTTTTTAGAGATTCTCAACTTTTTACTAGTACCCTAAAACTGGTCTTAACCGGAATCGGTACCTTTCCATTACCGATATAACCAGCCGGTTTCGGTTCAGACCGGCCGGTTTTGCGAACTCTGGTTTCAACACTAAAAATATCCAAATCTAAAATCAATTTTCAACACCAAAACAAATTTTGAAACTCAAAAAATAATACAGATTTACGAATATTTATTTTATGATGAAATGTGCGGTCTAGATAATTTTTTCCAATATACACTATTTTTAGAGTTGGAAATCCTTATTTTTTTCACAACCATAATGTTCAAGCCGAGATATTTGTTATAAAGGTTTTCTTATGCTTGAATTACAATTTTTTTATGAGTCATGAGATATGGTTTTACTTTTTTTTGATAGGGTCCTATCAAACCATTTTCCTTATTAAAACGGGAACCAATGTGGTGGTGGTCAAATCATTACTGTCTTGATTGTTCTAGTTTAGAGTAAAAACTAAGTTTGAGTGAAATTCAACTAAAACTAATATTGAACCAATTTTGTGAGATTGATTAGCTAGTTTTAACCAATTTGACTAACCAAAGTGGGTAACTAATTATTAAATATATTTAATCTTCTATTTATATTTTTTCTTATTATTTTTATAATTC